AGAGAGAGAGAGAGAGAGAGAGAGAGAGAGAGAGAGAGAGAGAGAGACAGAGACAGAGAGAGAGAGAGACAGACAGAGAGAGAGAGAGAGAGAGAGAGAGAGACAGAGACAGAGACAGAGACAGAGACAGAGAGAGAATGAGAGAGAGGGATTCAATGACCTCATTCTATTCTATTCAATGGCTGGTCCTACCCAAAAGCCAGAGGCCAAGACATGCCACGGATGTAGGCCTTAACATGCAGCTTCCTATACACAGACTTGGGTTGGAAAGAGAGCAAGTCAGATATTCAAAAGGCAATGGGGAACGATGAGGGAATATTTTGAATGGCATCAAATAGGACTAATATATAAAAGGAATATTCAATATTTATCTATCTAGAATTAGTAATCTTAAGGAAGAAAAAGAGTAAAGGCCAGGATATCTTCTGGGGGAGATCAGATTTTAGATTTTTTTCACAGTATACAGTAAACTTATGAAGCTATGGAACAGGTTGGTGACAGAGGCTAGAAACAGAGCAACCGTTGTGAAATGCATTTTGAAGAATTTCCTGGATCTCAGATGTCTAATCATGTGTACGATTTCAACATGTCATCCACTGAGTGTGCTGTGTGAGTTTTGAGCTTGGTAACAGTATCTTGCTTCTTTAATCATTTTAGCTAATGCTTTCTTTCTCTCTCCCACACTCTCTCCCTGTAACTCAATTTTATTATTTGATATTCAGTTCTTGTTGAGGATATAGCTCAGTGCTTTGGCTGTTTAGTTTAAGAAATAACAATGCTTTACAGAATACCAAATGAGAACTCAAAATTCAGGTTAGCCTCTGACCGTGTTAAGTATTTTCCTGATGTAACTAATAGTTTGCCTTAAGTCCTAAAACTTAAACTTTTAATTGCTCTAGAGCCTTTAAGTGAAAATGCACATTAGATACATATCACAGATTGAGGAATTCCATTTTCTTACACACATCGATCTCTGTCTGTCAGGTCTATCCCCTTTCCGTCTCTACACTCATTTATCTTCAGGGCAATATATGCATACATTGTCTATCAGAATAACCTAAACAGATCTTGGTGGCTGACAAATTGTCAAGGTACAATAGCTTACTCGCACACCATTATATGATCTTTTGAGAGTCATGAGCATCTAGAATTCTATTTTGGGTACCTACCTCCCAGGGAAGCTTCTCTGTTTTATTCTCTGAAAAAAAAAAAAAAAGAAGAAGACGATATAAAGTAATTATATTCAGAGATAATGCCAACTGAAGAGCTAAAGTCTATTTTCATTCTTTCTGCCTTCAACTACATGTCAACCTGCCTGTGCAATATTATTTTGCAGGAATAAGATTCCTGTCTGTCTTATCAGCTATCTCTAAGTATTTTGTCAAGTAACTCTTATGCCTCAGTAACCATAAGGGGCAGGGGCTGGGGCCTGCTCACAGGGCATTGCGTTGGCTTACCTGCTGAAGAAGAGCCAGGTGCTCCTGCGAGTTGCTGAAGTTTTTCCCAATGTCAAAGAGGCAGAAGGTTTCTTTCTGGCAGAGGCTGACCCAGTCTTGATATTCCTCTGTGTCAGGAATTCGATCCAGAAAGATCCGATAGGCTTCCCACACTACTTCTTGACACACTGTAACACAAAGCAGTTAGCTGTGCAAAAATGGAAAACCCCTTTCCCCAAAGCACACAGTGTCATAATACAGAAAATGTTTTCATGCTTTTGTTCACACACTCATTTACAAATGTGCTGGCCAGCGTTAACTGTCAACTGACACAATGCAGAGTCAGAGAGCATAGTAGGCAGACAAATGCTTAGCTACTGACCCACATCCCCAGCACTGCCCACCATGAAGGACAGCTTGTTTAAATCTATTCGTTAAAAGAACTTGATGGCTCAATAGTCATAGGGCACAGGAGAATCCACTGGACCACAAGAATGATCTAAATCTTGTTTTATTTTAAATATCAATGTTCACAGCCCACTGAAAGCAACATTCTTATTGATTATTTAAACTCATGATAGAAAACTTTAGATGTCAACTAGATAATGTGCAGTGGCAGTACATAGGTAAAAATGTTGCTATAGGAGATTAATCAGATATGTTAGAAGATTCCATTGTCAATAACGCTTGTTTGTGTGGTTATTTATTTATTTATTTATTTATCTATTTATGTTTTATTTCTATAGTCTGAGAAGGAATTGGAACTTTTGGGAAGAGATTGACATCCTCTGACTTTCTAATGAAAACTGGTTGTGGGAGGAACAAGATGAGGGGAAACCAGTTTGGAATCTTACTCCTGTATCTTGTGTCCCACCTCCTCATCCATGTCATGGTTTCTTTTCTGTGTGCTTTTTGTTTTAGAGGCAAAGGGGATCTCAGATAAATAAAAACCCACCTCATTTGCCAGCAGCACCTAGCCAGAGTCCTTAGGGTCTTTTCATAGTAACTCACAGAGGTGATGGGATAGCAGTCCTACTGCTCAAAGGTCTAGTCTCACCTTGAGTGAAAACAGGCAAGCAGTGCAGAGTCCCATATAGAAAATGTGCCTTGCAGTGTGACCTCTCTGCAAAGATGCCTACAAAGATGACGGTGCCCATCCTGACAGCAGCAGCATGGAGCACATGGCCCTTCATCTCCCCAGCACTCAGGAATCACACTTGGAAATCTGCAGACTTGTCCAAACTCTAATAGTTGTGGGTCCAGCATGAGCATGCCCCCTGCCCTTGCTGTCCTCCTAGTCCACATGCTCCATCTGTCTTTGGGAGTATGTTTTTCACCTTTGCCTTTCCCCCTGAGTGTACCTTTTAGTTTAGTTCAATCCCTATCCAACTGCCAGAGATGCAACAATACATAAAAGAAACTTTCACTGCCTTTGAGGCTCAGTTTTGGTGTCTTTCATGGAAAATATCCATAAACATCAGGGAGGCTATGATTCACTAGTCTCTTCTTGTTACCAGAGAGATACAACCTTGGGCATGTAGCTTTAGGACACAGATAGTTTTCATTTTATTTCAGTCCATTTTAATGCTTGCACTAATTTTATTCAGAGTTTATCTTATTAGCTATTTCAAATTAAGACTAAACTCAAATTTGCAGGTTTCTTAGACGTGTGTGTGTGTGTGACATTAGAAATGTGTGCATGAGAGTATGTATGCATGTGTGTATTATATGTATGTATCTCTCTCTGTGTGTATACATGTATGTATGTATGTATGTATGTATGTATGTATGTATGTATGTGTGGAGGTCAGAGGGCAACTTGTGGCAGTCAGATTCATTCTCTCCTACCTTGTGGGTTCTGGGAACTTAAATCACATCCTCAAGGTTAGTGAAAAATCCTTTTTCCTGCTGAGCTATCTCAAAAGACCAAAAGGTGGCTTGATATTTGGACTGAGAAAGAGCAAAGAGGAGGAGAGCTGTGGGCTACAGCATGGTGGAATACGGGAAGCTGGGCATCATTGAGGGAGCTCCACTGGAGACTGTGAGAAACCAACTCTTATTGCTTGCATTTGTGCTTCAGGACAGCATTGTAATGATTCCACACAAGGCTTCACACATTTCATTTGTGGTGCTTTAAGCTTGGTGGTTGAGGGAAGAAGAAATTGTTCACTACTTCTATTTGATGTCCTAATGGGGAGCTTTCTCCCTGAGTCTGTTGGAGGATGTCAGCAGATCATTTTGTAAAGGCAGTGATGAGACAGACCAGTAAGTGGGTCAGTCCATCAAAGGAACTCAGCTTTGTGGTTAGCTCTTATTTCTTTGCAAACCAATTTTTTAGACTTAAGAAACACACTGATGAATAGTAAAATTTCATACCACCCAGAAGTAACCATAAAGATAATGGACTGTCATTTGCTTTGTGGAGAAAAACAGTGTTTTGTTCTGTTCAGGGAAACATGAATGAGTGGGGAAAGTCTGATCAACAATAAAGAGCTTCGAAGTAAAATTCAGGGCACAAAATTTGGTCATGTGATAGTGTATTCCAAATACCTCCGGTGCATTATATATGTCAGTGTTGTAAAGAATAAGATTTTACGTGAAAAAAGTAAGCAGTAATGTGTATGTGTGTGTGTGCGCGCGCGCGTGCACAAGCACACTTCTGTCCATTAACAACTTTTATAGAACTTGCTGGCATTGTAATCTGATCAATCTGTAGGCACACTCAGCATAAATAATTCACACATCTATGTCTTTTCCTTGCTTTTCTGATGAATGGGATCCTTGCTTTTCATATTCCTCAGCAAGTATTTTACTAAAAAACTTCTGTGGAGAATGTGCTAGGACCTCAGCATGTTCATATAGGGTACTTCATTTCTAATATTAGGGTTTGGTTTTCCTTTTGAATATGATACAGTAATTTCCATTCACCTACAGCTAAGACTTCTGTAAGAAAGCGCATAGACCTTTACTTTTACACACAATTAGACATCTAAGAACCCAGTGAGAACTCTTAAGATGAATCGAACCTCAGACCCCCTTACAGGTTTAGGTATTCAAGAGGATATCTGGATGTCAGAATCACAAATGCATTCTCAATTGTAACAAGGCACACCTCATCACAGGCCAGCACTGAACCAGTTGCTCCTGGAAACCAGCTTTTAACATAGTAGGAGGATATGTATTTTGGCAGGGATACTAAAAACCATCTGGCGTCATAAAGGTGGGAAAACGCCAATCCACTCCACGGTTCACATGCAAGAACTTAGCCCAGAGAGATGAAGTGCTCATCATCTTTGGAACTATTTAGAAGACAGAATACCAGCTACAAATCTAAGTTTTTTCTTTTAAAGGACATTTCTTTTAAAGTCATGTGGATTCTTAGTCCATGTTAAGTAGACAAAATGAGCAGCGCTTTGCCACAGCTGCCACAAGACATCTGCTGGCAGCTGTGGTTGATTTAATTCCTTAGTGATTTCCAGGAATGCAAGGGATTCTGCAATATTGTCTTGGTTAAAAATTGTGATGTGCCTCAGCCCAAAGGTGGAGTAGTACCCTGCATACTCCAGAAGCCATTTCTAATTTGTATCTCCTCTGTACTTCAACCTGCCCCTAGGTTTCCAAACTTCCAAACTTTTTCCCCCTGGATCAGCAATAAATAAAATTATTGAAGCAGAAAGGATCTAGGTTGTAATATTGCTTTTGAAAAAAAAAAGAAATCGTAAGTCGTAAGTCAGGTTGTTCAGCTTTCTAATGTTGCAGCTATCTGAGACTTTTAACTTCAGAAGAACAGTGTTAAAATTCAATTCAATAGTGTACTTTGGAAAAAGCAAATGAAGTAAAACCTGTATTTCAAACATTTTTTTTAAATTATTTTCCTGGACCCTAATGGTTTCATGTAGCATAACAAATTATTTTAAGTCACAAGAGCTCAGGAATGGCACTGTTCTGTATGCTTGTGGCTCATGATTCCATTGGGTTAGTGGGCTGATATCTACAGCTCTCATGGAGGAATGAGAGACCATTAATGTTAGGGCTGAAGACCATCTGTGGGAAAGAGAGGATAAAGAAAATAGGGCTCAGCTCTCATTGCTGTCCTTACCTCTCAGTCTATAATATTCTTGAAGACTTGCTAAAATCTGTCTCAAGGATTCCTGTGGACAGATGTTAACAGCTGGGAAAAGTGCTGATCTTTTGGTTCGAAGCTTTACCAAATCAAATATTTGCTTCATGGCTGACACTTTGTGCATTGTTTCGATTCTTGGGGCTTTGTCTATTGTTTTAATTTCAGAACTGTATATTTTAATAGAGGTATCTGTAAGAGAAAAATCGATTTCATGGTGAATATATATTCTCAAGTGCACATGTACCATACATGGATAGTGAAATAAACAGAAGCCCTTTGGTTTACAACATTTCTATTTTGGTACAGATGACAACTGTAATCCCCAGATGTCAAGGCAGTTTCAGAAATACGAGAAGAGAGTAACAAACTGGTTGAATACATACATACATACATACATACATACATACATGCATATATATATATATATATATATATATATATATATATATATATATATGACATCTCACCTCACCTTTAGAAACTGCCAAATATCAAGACCACTTCCCACACATCTCTTTGAAAATCCCTTCCCACTCAGCATTCAGCTTGTCAAATGACACTATAATCAACGTAGGGAATGATAAAGCACTGTGGTACCCAGAGGTGTCGTCCCAGACGGGAAGCGGAGTGCTTCTAAAAACCACAGAGCAAAGCACAATGGCAAAACCTTCCAGCCATTCCTTGGCAGCCTTTGGATTTCTGGACTCAGGGTTCAGAAGGGAGTGATCTGATTGAGAGTGTACGGGGCATGAGTGGTCTTAGATGGTGCTCGCACAGGAAGTCTGGCATTTTGTGAGTGGAGGTAGAGGGGGCATGAGGGAGGGAAGGGCAGGGAGGGATGGAGAGGATACACTTGCAGAAGCTGGTCATTGTGGAGACAGCAGCCATGCATCTGCCACCCTCTCCGCAATCATCTCTTTTTCTTTCTTTCTTTCTTTCTTTCTTTCTTTCTTTCTTTCTTTCTTTCTTTCTTTCTTTCTTTCTTTCTTTCTTTCTTTCATTTTTAAAAGATATTTTGGACTTGCCTTTTTTCCTGTGTTATTTTCACAAAACCTTTTCTATGTAGACTTTATAAAATTTTAGGAATTTCGTAGAAGTTTAGAAAAACTCATGTCATTTTTCTCAGTTGATCATTCAGGAGGGTTCTGGGGCCCAAGGGTAGCAGTGCCTTCTGTCCCACGATGGGATGCTTTGTCTCCTGCCTTTCACTCATTCTACCAATTAGGAGGGATGTGTGGCATTTGCTGCTGGCGGGATCACAGGGTGCTACTCCATTTTGGAAAGTGTTTATAGTAAGATTTCTACATGAATGCCCATAGGGATTTTTTTTTTTTTACAATAACAGTAACATTGGGCTTTTTTCATGTGCCCCTCAACTGGTAATGAAAGAGGCAAATTTTAATGCACTCATAAAATGAAAATCAAGTCATTATTAAGATGAAGAAACTACTAAAAAAAAACATAAGTCATCAGCCAAAATAATTCAGACATACTGAAAGAACACAGTGTACTGTTCCAGTCCTGAGGAACTCTCGCAGTTTAAACAGTGGCCGAGAACACTGGATACCTGGGCCGCCGGTGGATACCTGGGCCGGCGACAAGGATAACGGATTGACTGGTAGAGTCATATGTGGGTATTTGGGGCCGAGAGCAAGAGTGCATATTTACCAAAATTTATTAAAATGTACAATTAGTGGAATAATTTTACTTTTTTTTTAAAAATGTGTCTCATGGCACAGCAGTTAAGAGCATTTGCTGTTCTTAGAGAAGACTGAGGTTCTAACACACAGTGGTTGTTCACAATTGCCTCTAACTCCAGTTCCTCTTTTGGCCTTCTATGTCAACAGGCTTGTGTGGTACACGTACATATGTTCACGAAAAATGTTCAAATACATGAAATAAAAACGAACAAATATTTTAAAAAATTGTATCTCCATTAAAAAAGAAAAACAAAAAGAAAAAGAAGAAAGGAAGGACATGTGGAAAGTTAGCCACTCACTGTGAGCCGCTCACTCACTGAGGCTCCTGATGTAGCTTACAGAGGCAACCGGTTATATTTAAGGGAACCTCCTAGCTGACATCTTTTAAAATCAGTTACGGAGGAGACAACTCGGCAGAAGGCCAAGCCAATCAGTGAAGAACAGTTCAAATGTCACAGAGGTTAAGTCCTCCCTTCATAACTGGGATGAAGAAGTCCAGGTGTATTCCGTGGCATTTCGTGGAGTTTCACAGTGCTTTTTAGGAAAGACTCTTCGGGAAGGAAGGCATGTAGGCATTGATTAGCTCATCCAACCACACACTAGAATCATTATTCTTGAGAAGCACACAGTTATCAGTGATCCCTGAAAATCCCCAGGCAATTCCAACTTCCACTGTTTCAGGATCTATAAGGGTGCTTCCATCTAGAGTGAGGATAATCGGGTAGAACTGCTTTCCATAAGTAGGAAGTTAACAGTACAGCCAGGGGAAGCTGCTCCCGATGAAAGTGGAGCTCTGGCTGGGACTCTGAGTTCTGCACTGACCTTGTGAACTTCCCCATAGGCCTGGTCCCAGCAGTCTCTCTGATGGTTGCTAGCAGCAACTGGAACATTCTCTCCCTTGTTTGTGCTGAGGATTAGCTTTCCTCTTAATGTGGTCTGAGATAGGCTGTGTTTCTAGATCAAGGCTAGTTGTCAAGGGATGTACTATTGACTGTTGCTAAGGAATCACAGATGAGGGGACTGGGAATACCTGGACTGGCTCAGTTTTTCTGGGTAGTGGAGTCAGCCTGAGTCAAACTGGTAGCACAGGCAAGTGGAAGGGGATCAATCAGTGCTCGCACAAAGCTGAGCATTCTCCATCTTCCTCTGGTTTCTTATATCCTATGATCATTGGATACCACAACTGATCTGCTCACTCTTTTGCTTAAAAACAGCCATAGGGCTCTTCTTGTGTTAGTGTTATAGTTAACATTTAGTTCACAATATGTCATCTGTGTTTCCTCCCCAATCAGTGCTGTGTAAGAGCGCTGATACTAGGGAGTTTGTATTCTAACTAAGGATATTTGTTGGGCAGTCCACATTGACAAAATTTGTTCATTCCCTTTCTAAGGATTTTGAGTTGCTTAAAATAAACAACAAAAGGAAGGATAAAAGAATGGGAAATGTAAATGTTACATATTTCAGCGAAGTCAAACAAACAAACAACAAACCCCAAACCAATCCAAACCAAACCAAACCAAACCAAAACCCCCCAAATGACAGCATCTTTAAGAGCTGATGAAGTTGCTCTCTGGTGAGGCGACTAGGTCAGTTGTATTATGGTCTTCATTGTCTCATGAGTGATAATGTAGATATTGAGCTTGTAAAGATTATTTGGGTACACTTTTATGACTAATATTTTTAGTTTATGCAAATATTTGGAAAAATAGATAAAAGTTTAATGAGAACCATTGATATCTGAAGACTAAAAAAGGGAGTATATTTTATAAAAGACTGGAAAATCAGGTTTCTAGCCTATGATTTCTGGACTCCTTGTGTAAGTGAGGATGGCTTTGAAATTCTGACCTTCCTGCCTTAACCTTTTTGGCGGAATTTCAGGTGTGTGCCACATCCAATTTTCACAAAGTGTTGAGCATCAAACCTAGAGCCTTATTTATGCTACATTTCTGGCCCCAGAAGATTGGAAATTATTATTATTGTAATTTAAAAATATCTATTTGTTATTTTAGATTTATGTGTTTAAGTATTGAGCTTGTATGTATGTCTGTGCACTCTTGTGTGTCTGGTGACCACAGGAGCTAGAAGAGGTCACCAGATTACCTTGAACTGGAATTAAGGACAGTTGTAATCTACCATGTGGGTCCTGGGAAATGAATTTGAATCTTCTGTAAGAGTAGCAAGTACTAAAAGTTAAAATACTGTGAGTCTCCAGTCCTGTAGATATTATTTTGAGACAAAAAATATTTTTCTAAGACAATCATAAAATGTGAGCTTATGCAGTAAGGAAGGATATAACTGCCACATGCAGGAATCTTCAAATGGTGTTCATAGTTACAGACAGAAGCAAATGGCAATGAAACTCTAAGAAAGAAGCAAGCAAGCAGCTCTACCCAGACCTCTTGTCTAAGACCAACGAGTATAAAACCAACCCAAAATTCAATATATTACACATTTGGGGATAGTACACAGTCGCATTTGTTTTAAATTATAGAATAAGCACCAGGAAAGCAACCCTTATGCTTGGGTTGGGGAACAGTCATATAACATAATAGAAAGTGTTTATATTCTCTTTTCAGTGTCTAATACCAGACACCCAGGGCACAGCTTATGTTATTAAGCATAATACAGCCATTAACTACATAGGGGTTGATGTAAAAAATATCCCCTCTCCAGGAAAAAGACATCGGGACGGGTATGGCCCTCATGCCTCACTGGACAACGACAGGGGGACCCGAGCCATTACAAAGTCCCCTTCAATTACTGGAGGTCAGGCCTCTATCCCTGCCTTCCCAAGATTAGAATTGCCACAACCCTTCTATACTTAGAGAAGGGAGATGTCAGGGGCAGCCCTGCTTACACACTGAAGGCCTAAAATCAGCCATAGGCCTAAAATCAGCAAGAGACCTGTCATACATGTATACTAACACCAAGTCTTGGGTCTCTGTGGAAAAACATTGAAACAGATGGCCATAAGCTTTTATAAACAGGCAGCTTTTGTGGAAATTTACCAGCCTGAGTAGTCATAGACCTTGTAAATAGGTAGCCTTGGCAGATAATACCAACTTAGATAAAGACAAGTGAATCATAGGCAGAGTCATAGTGACCTGTCCCCTGAACCTACACCCAGTGGGTACCCTGTTCTGAAAGATATCTGTACTCCCCCCGAACACCCATACTCCAGTGTCATCCCCTTCCCCATGTCCTGCCTTTTTGCATTTATAACCCCTGTGTGAATAAATAAAAATTATGATTTGATTTTAAAAAATAAATTAAAATAAATTTAAAAAATAATGCAGTCATTAAAAAGAAAACTAAAAATTTTTTGAATGAAAATACAAAGAACAGAAAGGATATGGTTTATGTATAAAATATCTTTTAGTAAAACCACAATTTACAAGCAATTTTAATGAACCAGATTATAAATGTGGGGTATTTACCAGGAAGAGTATTAGTGTTGCCTCTTGAGTAACAACAGGCCCGGAAATGGCT